CCGGCCGCGCACGTCCACGTCCGCGCAGGCCGCTGCGCAGGTGGGCCGACCAGACTAGGCGCCGCCCAGGACGATGGAAGACTAGTTTGGAAGCCTTGTAGGCGCCGCCGGGTTTGGCCTCTTTGGGCCAGGCACGGGCCCACGTGCCTTGGGCAGCACGGGACGAGTGCCGCCGCGCACCACCCAATTCGCACGCTCTGGAGCTAAAACCCCCTCAAAAAAGGGTAAAACCCGCTCAAAAAACCCAAAGAAGGGTAAAGAGTGAGTAACATCCTTGTGCTTAATTTTGACCTTCTGGGAGCTGTGGGACAATCCTGCAAACCATATGGGAAGGTCCAAGTCCAACACAGCACGGAACACATGTGAAATGCTACACCAGTCCGGCGTGTTTTGTGCGCTCGGGCGCACACCCAGTATGGAGTTTCTCTCGACTTAATTCTTCTTCCCTCCATTAATTGACACGTACGAGTACACGTCCATGTCGGATAGTACTAGTCTCTCGGCTTCTAGACGGGGTTGCATTTGCATTCATCATATTCCCGCACACAATCGGGAATTGATCCTTGCAGTTGGTCTACTGCGAGACCTGTCACATCCAACCATCGCATAATTTTCCCCGCCAAGAATAGTCAGCCTGCCTGCAGCTCTGATTGCCCCTACGTGTGGTACATGCAAATACTAGCTTCCTACGTCAAAGCCTCGTGGCATGATCGTTTGCTATAAGAAGATTGTAAAAGAAATAAAATTCAGGTAAATTGGTCACAATTCTACGCCACGCCTCTGATTGGAAACGCGGATGGATATTCATCTTGGAAACTTCTTATATCGCTTTCATGGTTGCCACTAGACACGAGCATCGCAGTTGGTCAGAGAGGCTAGAAGGTCTCGACTTTGAATATTCTGTTTGCCACGTAGGCTTCGGGAAACTAGGATTTAGTAGATGTTGCTGATCGTCTGGAACAAATTGATGGTTTTGGATAGCCAAATAACTAAGGGCATCTTCAGCCGTGCCCCCAACAAGGCCCCCCAGACATGTTTTTGTCCGCTAACGTCAAAAAATCGGTCCAGTCGTGCCCCCAAGAGCCCAGTTTTTGCCGGCTCGGACCGAAATTGGCGCCGGCGGACTCAACCCGAACCCGGTGCGCTGGGGGTCACTTGGGGGCGCCGGGCGAATCGTTTTTGGCGCGAAGAGCCACGGGCCCGCCGCGTCAGCGACTCTACTCTCTTCTCGCACCTTCGTCGTCCTCATCGCCTCGTTTTCCATGGCGAATCAATGCCAAAACTGTCGCGCGCTGCCGCGCCGGTCAGCCTCCATTGGTGCCTCACGGGCGGCGCAGTGAAGGCTGGGCGACGCGTCCCTCAGCCGCCACGCAATCACGCCACGCGTAACGCGTCGGCCAAGCCTACCACGCGGCGTCTCCGTCTATAAAAGCCGACTGCAAGCGCGCCGGAGAGACTCACCCCGATCATCCACCGATGACGCGCTCATTTCTCCCCCTTTCCTCCTCTCGCCGTCACCAGTTGAGAAAGCATGGCCGAGCGTTTCCCAGGCGACGGCGCGGCGGCGAACGGATTCGGGCGCCGTCATCTGCACGAGGACGAGGCTCGCCTCCTTTTTGAGGCCGAGTACCCGGTCCCGCCAGACATGCGGGTGCCCGGGGCGTGGAGGATCAGTGCCGGCGGCGTGCCGGTGCCCCCGGTACCCACCGGCGCGGCGCGGCGTGCGGAGATCGCATGCATCCGCTCGTCCCTGCCGCGTGCGGCGAGGGAGGGGCCCCGATACGTCCCCGACAGCCCAATCTCGGAGTCGTACTTCCGCCGCCGGCACGGCGAGCAACTCGAGGCCACCAACAGCGTCGTGCCCTCCGGCAGGTTCAACGCCGTCGGCCGGTGTCGGTGGTGGGGCGTGCCCGGGCGCACGTTGGAGTCCGTCCTCGAGTACATCGAGGGCGGCAACACGCCGCGCCTCGAGTACCCCGCTCCCCCGTGCTCCTCACGCCGCCACCGGGGAAGCTCCTGGACGCCGAGGCGCATGGAGACCGGGGTGTCCTCCTCCTCGTCCGGCGGCTCTCCCTGCCTCCACCTCCGCCCCGTCAAGCCGGAGCCCCAGGACACGCCTGTCAGCGCGCGTACCCGCAACTCCGGCGGCTCTCCCTGCCTCCACCTCCGCCCCGTCAAGCCGGAGCCCCAGGACACGCCTGTCAGCACGCGCACCCGCAGCTCCGGCGCCCTCGTCGAGCCCAAGGCGGAGTCCAGCCTCCCCCCGGAGTACGAGGAGATAGCCCGGCGTGGCTTCTCCGACAAGGACGCCATGCGGTGGTCGCGCGACGACTACCTGCGCGAGGAGATGATCCGGCAGCACCGGGCCCTGGAGGAGATCGCCGCCCGCAAACGTGGGCGCGAGGACGAGGACGGTGTCATCGTCCTCGATAGCGACGACGACGCCGCCCCCGGACCGTCTAACCCGCCACGCCAACCGGGGAAGGGATGCAGCAGGGACGGCGGAGGCGTAGGCGGAGGCGACGACGACGACGACGACGGTGACTACACGCGGTTCTACAGCCTCCTCGGCATGTAGAATCGCGTGGGCGGGCGACGAGGCGGGCGGTGAGGGAGACGGCGGGGGTAGCCCGCGATAGTTTTTTTTCTTTTTTTTGTAAAATATGTTTAAATTTAAACGAACTCGCCCGTGTTTGCGTTGTGTTTGCGCCGAATTTGAACATTTTAAAAACCCGTGGGGGGCGCGACTGGGGGGCATCACGCCCCCAGTGCGCGGTTTAGCGCCGGTGCGCCCCCAGGGGGTGATTTTTTGCCCCTCCTGGGGGGCCAACGACTGGAGATGCCCTAAGCCGGTGGTCCAGTCATGCCTGGAAAAATGGTTCAGACCAAGGATTGCATTCCCTGACGACAACTACTAGGTCATCACAAATTCAACTTACGGAACTCCCTAATATAAGAAGGGTGATGCACTTTGGCAGAAGTGTGATGCACGAGAGGGAGGAGAAGGAGGAGGAAGAAGAGAGTTGATGCTGACGTGTTGGCCCCATCTGTCATAATAGTCTACTTAGAGCATCTACAGTCGGGTGCCTTAAACCGGGCTCAAACGACTGGAATGCCCGCCTGATCATGAAAATCTGACCCAGACGAACGCCTCAAACGGGTCTTAGACGCCTGGGCTAACCAACACCCCTCATATCCAGCCTAAATATGGAGCTGATATGGGGGCGTCCGGGCGTGCCCGCCACTCGGACTGACGGTGGGGTCCAACGCGGAATCGCCTGGAATCCCGGCGGTCCAAAACTTGTCTCCTCCATCAGACAAATGTCGTCGCGTGGCGCCGCTCCGCCAGGCCGTGTAGTACCTAGCCGGCTATTTAAGTCGACCATCGGCATCGAAATCCTATCATCCACATTTTCCTCCGCGTGTCCGCGGTCGCCGCCACTTTTCACTCCCTGTTCGCCTAGTAGTCATGCCCCCATGCCGCCGAGTGAGGAGCCCACCCATGTCTAACGCTGGAGCGCCGGCTGGAGCCCCTTGAGTAGATCCGGGCAAGGTGTGAAGCCTGGATCGCCGCGCGGCTACCTCCGGATGCAGTGGATCCGGAGGAGGAGGTGGGGGGGGGGCAGGAGGAGGAGGCCGAAAAGGAGGAGGAGGAGGATGAACCGGAGAAGGAGGAGGAGGACGACGGCGACGAGGAGGAGGAGGTTGAGAAGGAGGAGGATGAGCTGGATAAGGAGGAGGAGGATGTGGGGGACGCTGGCGACGTGAATCTGCGGGCGAAGCAGCAGGCCAACCTAGATTCCCTTCGCTCGGAGTCGGCTGCAGAGGCCAGCCGTCATCGCCGGCAGGAGATGGAGGCCGCGGAGAAGTCGGAGATGCTCGCCTACATGGATGAGGTCGAGCAGGAGGAGGATGAGCCAAAGCCCTCCTATGCGCCTAGCACCAACGTCGTGGACATCTTCGACGACGAACATTAGCTAAGATAGTACGTATGATTTCTTTTGCATGCTTTATATGAATGTAAGAGTTAAAATATGAAGACTCGGATGCAGAATGGCTAATTTGAGGGGCCGGATTTGCAAAGTCCAGCTACAGATACTTTTACTAATCAAAATAAAAAGAGTTGACTTTCTTGCCACGTCAGTTTTGATGGATGGGTCCTGCCTGTTATAAACGTGTCTAAATCGTTCAAACCGATCACTATTTGAAAATGGTAGTTTTTGCAAAAACTAGCTTTATCTATTTATTTTTTGTTGCCGTTTTGAAAGTGATAGTTCTGTGGGATCGGAACCTGGAATGTTGTATTTTTTGTTAAATACTCAATATACTCTCGATTGAAAGCTTGAGCAGGCTAGGATTAAAGACTCCACTACAAATCTGCCATCAGAGTTTTTACCATGGAAAATCAAACATTTTTAATGACAAATGATGTTCTTTGAGAATGGCAAGTTTACCTGGCAAACATGACAAATCCATCTCGGTTCAATTATATTGTCAGAAAATTACTATGCTTGCAAACTAAATTTGTCATCATCATAACAATAAATTGTCATGAAAAACATCAGATTTGACATGCCTGAAATAGTACCGGGTCTAACGAGCAGCCACACCTGCCCTGTGGCTTGCACGGAAGTGGAGCAGTTGACGGTTTCGCTTTGTGCGCCCAGATGGTCGGAGCGACGTAGGAGTATCACATTAGCCGCCGGACCCAGGATTTTGTGACACCAACTGGACACATTAGTTTTCCCCTTGTCTCACTAACGTCTCTCCTCCTACTCCTATATGACGTCTGCCTATGGAAATGTCAATGTCGATCGCATCACAACCTCGCATATTTATCGTTATGGCAACAAACAAACAAACAAACAGAAATTTCACCCACAAACAATGCAGTCAAATCCTAACAGAAAACAAATCAATTTCACCAACGTCAAACGCCGGCAATGCTATGAGAAGCAAATATTTTTTTGCAGTAGACGGGCGGGGTGTTGAGCTCGTACCTTTGCCTGGCGCCGAACACGTCGACGACGATGTGGCCGGAGGTGCGCTCGACGAGCTTGTGCCCGTACGCCGCGGCGGCGTACACCAGCGCCTGCTCGTCGGGGGACTCGCCCTGGTACTCCACCAGCTTCGCCGCCGGGTTCGCCGTGTCCTCGACGATGGGCACGATGGTGTTGCAGGTCGCCAGCGCAAGGAACAGGTCGCGGGCGCGGCTGGCCTTGGCGCCCGTCCCGTCCTTGAGCAGCGCCGTCAGCTTCGGGTCCGTATTCACCGCCGTCTTGGGTCTCAGAACCACGCCGTCAGCTGCACCCAAACAGAATGTCCCGCCAAACATGGACCAGATCAGATTCGTTTCTCCTCGTGATTGGATGTTGAATTTTACTTACTAGAAAAATAACTGGGGTGTCAAACGAAGGTGTGCTGTAACATTAGTGTGTCGTGTCGGGCTCCCATCCCAGGAAAATGGATGGTGAGGATTCATCGTTATCGATACACCCAGTCAGTCTCAAATTGAAATCCGAAAGAATGTTGGTTGTTGACGTCCGGTAATTCTATGCTTATTGGGCCAGATGACGGTCAACCCTGATCAGTGACCCGAGGTTGTATCATTCGCTAGAAGGCTGGTTGTAATGAAGCATATGATACTAGTATATGATACTACCTTCACAATGCATAGCACTTCCTCCGTTCATGGATATAAGTTTTTTTTAGAGATTCAAATGGACTACCACATACGGATGTATATAGATATATTTTATAGTGTAGATTCACTCATTTTGTTCCGCTTGCAGTCACTTGTTAAAATCTCTAGAAAGACCTACATTTAGGAACCGAGGGAGTATTATAAGTTGGTATCTTAGATTGCCTTATTAATTGTCATGCATGACACAAAGTAGTAGTACAACATTTAATATGATATGGTATCATGATATGAATCACACCCGCTCTTTTTCTCATTTAATTGTGTGCCGTATCATACTCCCTCCGGTCCTTTTTACTCTGCATATTAGAATTCTCTGAAGTCAAACTTCACAAAGTTTGATTGCATTTATATGAAAAAATATCAACATCTGCCATGCTAAAGTTATATAATATGAAACTTTAAGTCATGACACATCTAGTGGTATTCATTTTAGATTGTGAATGTTGACACTTTTTTCTACAAAGCTGGTCAAACTTTACGAGACTTGACTTCAATCAAATCTTATATGCGAATAAAAAAACCCGGAGAAAATACAAAAAGTCTAGTTGGCATGCATGATACCGCTTATTGCTACTCTCATTACGACCAGCCGAAGAGTCAAATGTTTTGCAACACAAGCTACTACAGGATTTTCAGGTCCCGGTAGATTAAATGTTTTGCATAGTGGAACATCTCGCTTTTGCCTTTTGGGCTTAAAAAGGGGGAGGAAAGTTCATTCAGAAGTTTGACTCGATCAGTGGCATTACTAATCAGTAATGAACAGTACCATTGCACGTACTTGTCATGTAACCATGAAAAGATGTTCTTTCTTTTCACCGGTCATCTAACTATCGAAATGTGTCAGTGCTTGTATCTTGCGTGTTTGCAGAACTCGCGTGCTCGTTTCTGGTTCGGCGTGTGGATGCAGAAACTTCAAATTCTGCATACGTGTACCCGAAATAACCATGGCGATCGTCCTAGCACGCAACACACTGGCGAGTGACATGTCTTCTAGTAGTATTAGTTTTCTTACGGTCAGATAATGCCAACGCCGCCGCTCAAAATCGGTGATTAGCCAACCAAGCTTACCGCTGGTGAAAATTTCAACCAAAACAAACATTTGCTTACCTTGCACGGCATGTCCGTCCTCCTCGCCGCCGTCGGTCTCGCTGAAGTCGCGGCCTTGCACGCTGGCGCAGCGGAACTCCATCCGATTCTGCGTGAGCGTGCCGGTCTTGTCGGAGAAGACGTACTTGATCTGCCCGAGGTCCTCGTTGATGTTGAGCGCCCGGCATTGGAACCTGGCCTGGCTCTTTTCGTCGAACATGTGCTCGTCCTGCACCATGAAGTATGCCTGCCCCACCCTGATGAGCTCCATGGAGATGATGAGCGCGATGGGGATCATCACCTGGAACTGTATCACCGCCGACATGAACGTGAACACCACCTGCACGCCCGTGCCGTACCAGTTGTACCTCCCGTGGCCGTGCTCAGCAGCCCCAGAGTAGTCGTATTTGTGGAAAAAGGGGATGATGCCGAGCCGGTCCACATGGTCACCCATCCAGATGCCGGTGAGGAGAGACACCACCGAGCAGAGAACGACCAGAGCCACGGCCAGCGCGATGATTTCGCGGTTCATGTGCGTCTCGAGGCGGCTGCGCTTGGATGGCGCACCCGAGCTGTTGAGCACCACCTTGGTGTCCCGGCCGGTGTACACCGCCACTCCGATGGCCCAGACCGTATTCTTGAGCTCGCAGCCACGGAGCATGACGTTGGAGGCGCCGAGGGAGATGGCGCGGCGGCCGTTGAGGTCCACGGTGGCGAGGAAGCCGTAGATGTTGCGGTTGGGTTTCTCGCACTTGATGACACCGGCGAGCGCCTCCGGCGGCGTGGACATGGTTTCCTGCTTGGCGTAGCGCGTCTTGAGGTTGGACTCGCCGTCGAGGTTGATGGTCTGGATGTAGGCCACGCCGGTGGGGTCGCTCGTGGACACAAGCACCATGTCGCACGGCAGCGTCTCGTTAGCCACGAGACGCACCACGTCGCCGACCTGAATGTCCTTCCAGCGCTTCGGCCGGAACACGCCGTCCGCGAGCACAGACGCCGTGCGGTTGTTCTCGTTCTTGTCTGACCGGTGGCGCCTCCAGTCCTCGTACGCGTCCTTGACTGCCGTGACGCCGAGCACGAAGGCCAGCGGCAGAACGCCCGCTTCCTTGGAGAGCACGAGGAGTTGCGGCACGAAGTTGAGCACCGCCAGGACGAGGAAGTAGATGTAGGCCACCCTGTGGAACTGCTCGTAGAGGTTGCGCGGGATGAAGGTGAGGACGGAGTACTTGGAGGTGTGGATGGAGTTGTCCGGGAACATGGCCGGCGGCGCGTTGGTGCGCGGCGCGTCGTTGATGTAGACGAACCGGGCGTCCTCGTCGCGGAGGTCCCGCTGCGAGCCGGCGCGCTCGGACGCGGATCGCCTGGTGGACGACCGCGAGACGCTGGACGGCCTGGACCGGGCGGTCCGGAAGCTGTCGAAGGACGGCGAGGTGGATTCCGGCTTGGAGGGCGACCGGAAGTCGGCCGCGAAGGTGACGGACGAGGTGTCTGGCGCGGACCGCAGCGAGCGCGATACGGACGGCGAGTGCTTCAGTATCGGCGACGGCACCGGGTCCGGCATCCTGGCGGGCGGGTCCATATCTGCTCCGGTCGCTTGCTGCGGCCGTTGCAATTGCAACGGATGTGGTGGCGGCAATTGCCCTTGCGGCCGCATGCTGGTGTACGTAGCACGTGGAAGAGTACGTAGTACTAACTAAAGCACCCAGCCGCTAGGCGCAACTAGTACTATGTTCAGATTGGATTTAGCCAAGCGAGGAACAAGAAGGGATGATTACTTGATTTGTCTGCACTGGAGTTAACGAGATCGGCCAAAGGTTTTGGAGGGATCGCTTGGTCGTTTGCGCGAGACAGGCGGGGAGTTCGAAGGGTCTGCAGACTCCAGCTGTGTTATCAATTCGCGGGGAAGGAGAGGAGAAGCTTTGCTGCGAGTGCGAGTGCGACGGCCAACTCTCTTCCAGATGGAAAATGGTCAGGGACTGCAGATGGAAATTAGTCAGGGACGGCGGGTGCTCAAATTGGACCGGAAGGCGTCAGGCGCTGATGCGCATGGACCGAGTCCAGGGGGTTTGTGGGCCCCGGATTTTGCTACCTTAGGCTTTTTTTAAAGTAACTTTTTCTTTTTCTTTTTCTTAGAAGTATTTATTAGCTTGTTGACTTAATTTTTATCGGGGAGCGCTATATGATGGTAGCATCCAAAAATAAGACTCGCGGGAGAACTTGGGCTCTCTCAGAGCTTAGACTAGTCACGGTGGGGAGTAACTTAGAGTAGTAACATGCGTATGTTACTATTTCCACAGTGGACAACAACATATGTGTTGTGTTATGCATAACTTCATTTATTAGGTTCTAGACTCATCTTTTTTTAATATGTGTGATATTACAGTAACTACTATGTTACCATATGCCTCTCTTTTCTAGACTCATCTTTTCTTGATATGTGTGATGTTACAGTAACTATTATGTTACCACATGCATCTCTTTCTTCATTAATTACATGCCATATCATCTATTTTTTCTAAATAAGTGTGATGTTATCACCTATGTTAGGTAGTCTTAAAGCATTTTAACCGTCGGATCAGTTTGCTTGATGCGTTTTGACCTGTAGGATCCCCCTCCTGATCGATCTTCCGCCGGATAAAAAACTAAGCACTATATCAATGAACAGTGCACTCTCCAGCAAAAATATCATGTGCCACCACATGTAATTTCCATGCCCCGCCGAGGGTACGAGTGGTATTTCGCGTGATCCATTGTGACGCGCCCTACACCGATGCGCTGCTCCATCCCCAATCAGGGGAGATGCTAGGGTTTGGTCTCTCTCCTCTCATTCTTCTCTATCCCTCTCACTCACGCCGGTGCCACCGCCGCCACCCGCTAGCATCTGTTCCCGTCTCGCCGCCCCTTCCCCGTCGCTCCTCCTTCTCCTCCATTGCCAAGAGAGGCCCGGTCTCGCTCGGGCCGCTGCTCCTCCATCAAGTCCGTGCATCAGCGTTGTTAGGAGGAGTGGACGCTGCAGCTCATGCACTCTGCTCCTCCTTGGACTGCAGCACGGGCAAAGACGTCGATCACGCTCTGTGCGTCCCCGACATCATCGTTGCCGCCTCTTCTCCACCCCCTTTGCCGCTCCTCAGTCGGCGTTCTTGGTGAGCACCAGGCCCTTCTACCCTACCGTCGGCGCCACCTCCTTGCGAGATTTCGGCCATGGCGGGCTCCCCCACCCTCCCCTCCCACCCTCGTGATGTCTACTACACAACTTGTTCTTCTAGACTCGTGTTGGGCCTCCAAGCGCAGAGTTTTTTTAGGATAGTAGCAAAATTCCCTCAAGTGGATGACCTAAGGTTTATCAATCCATGGGAGGTGTAGGATGAAGTTGGTCTCTCTCAAACAACCCTGCAACCAAATAACAAAGAGTCTCTTATGTCCCCAACACACCAAATACAATGGTAAATTGTATAGTGCACTAGTTCGGTGAAGAGACGGTGATACAAGTGTAGCAATGATAGTAGATATTGATTTTTTTAATAGCAACAATAAAAAACAGCAAGTTAGCAAGTAACGAAAGTGAGCACAAACGGTATTGCAATGCTTGAAATAAGGCCTAGGGTTCATACTTTTGTTAGTGCAATCTCTCAACAATGCTAACATAGTTAGATCATATGGCAATCCCTCAACATGCGATAAATAATCACTCCAAAGTTCTTATCCGGCAGAGAACATAAGATGAAATTGTTTGTAGGGTACGAAACCACCTTAAAGTTATCCTTTCTAATTGACCTATCGAGCTATTCCTATAAGTGTCACAAACAGCCCAAGAGTTCGTACTAAAATAACATCATATGATACACATCAACCAACTCTAATGTCACCTAGATACTCCAATATCACCACAAGTATCCGTGAGTTAATTATACGATATGCATCAAACAACTTCAGATTCATAATACTCAATCCAACACAAAGAATTTCAAAAAATGCCCTAAGATTTCTACCGGAGAAACAAAGACGAAAACGTGCTCAACCCCTATGCATAGATTACCCCAGTGTCACCTCGGGAATCAACGAGTTGAGTGCCAAAACATACAATAGTGAATCAATATGATACCCCATTGTCACCACGGGTATTCATAGCAAGACATACATCAAGTGTTCTCAAATCCATAAAAGTATTCAATCCGATAATAATGAGATCTCAAAGGTAAAACTAAATCCATCACAACAAGATGGAGAGGGGAAAACACCATATGTTCCAGCTATATTAACAAAGCTCGCGATATATCAAGATCATGCCAGAACACGAGAGAGAGAGAAAGAGATCAAACACATAGCTACTAGTACAAACCCTCAGCCCCGAGGGTGGACTACTCCCTCCTCATCATGGTGGCCGCCAAGATGGCGAAGATGGCCTTCGGTGATGATTTCCCCCTCCGGCAGGGTGCCGGAACGAGCTCCCGATTGAGTTTTCGTGGCTATAGAGGCTTGCGGCGGCGGAACTTCCGATCTAGGGTTATTTCTGGGGGTTTCTATATTTATAGGATTTTTTGCGTCGGTCTCACACTAAGATGGGCTTCAAGGGGCCCACTACCCACCAGCACACACCGGAAGGGGGTGGCGCGCCCAGGTGGGTAGTGACCACCTCCTGGCTCTTCTGGCCCTCACATGAAGCTTCTAATGCCTCTTTTCCCAAAAAAATCATCAAAAAGTTTCACTGCGTCTGGAGAACTTTGACTTCTGCACAAAAAACAACACCACGGTAGTTCTGCTGAAAACAGCGTCGGTCCAGGTTAGTTTCATTTAAATCATATAAAATTGCACCCAAACCATATAAAATTGTTGTAAACATGGCATGAGTACTTCATAAATTATAGATACGTTGGAGACACATCAGCATCCCCAAGCTTAATTCTTGCTCGTCCTCGAGTTGGTAAATGATAAAAGAAATAATTTATGAAGTGTGAATGCTAGCATAATGCATAAGTTTGATCAATGATAATTTCAATCACTTTTCCTAGCATCATAACAACAACTCTTTCTCATAAAACTCATCATGATAAAGTAGAAATCAATTCACATGTTACAGTTCAAACAATGCCTTCTCTTGAAACTTAACAACCTATGTTCTTAGTCACCAAACAATTGCAATTCAACTTATTCTCAACAAAGTCTAAGTAAGAGCTCCACATACTCAATCATGACTACAAAAAAAACCACTTCCATGATGATACGTGTTTGTCACAGTAGGTCACATTTTCTGTCATGCTTGTACATCCATGATGATTTTATGACAGAATGAAGATAGGCATACTCATGCTGTCGTAGAAGTGTTCCATGACATTACCAAAATTATCACTGAAGCATGACGATAAATCGCGCGTCATAGAAGTGCTTTCGTCAAGGGTAACCGACACATGGCATCCACCATAACGGGTCGTCGTTAAGCTATCAGGGTCCGGTTTGGATCCGATAACCTGTTAACAGCCTTGACCAATGGGGATTTTCCACGTGTAAAATTCTGATACGCCGAAGGATCCACGTGTCAGCTCAGCCTCGGGATAGATGTCATCTAGCCAATGGACGGGACGCGCCTATGATAAGTCGACACGTGGCTCAGCCCAACAGAGGCCCATTCAGGTGAAAATGTCGGCCCGTCTAACTTGGTCAAAAGGTAGCAGGCTGGCCCACGAAAAGCATGTTAACGGCATGTTTGCATATAGCCCATTTACAGCCCGCTAACTCACGACTCGTTATAGCCTATCCGAATTAGGCCCAGTAGCGCCATATGGGCCTTCCAATATGATTCCAGCCCGTTGTAACTTCCGGCCCATGTATGGCCTATGACGTCTTTCGGCCCGTATGAGGCCCTTTCTAAATCTTGGCCCCTAAACGGCCCGTGGTGAAACTGGCCTATAATGAACAGTATATAGCTTTATACCCATTAACTGCCCATTATTCCATTGGACCGTTTCAGCCCATGTTATCTTTCGGCCTTCTAAGGGCCCATTTATTATTGGGCTCATTTCCGACATTCGATTACTTACGGTCCGTTATTGGCATGTTCCGGTTGTGGGCTAAATTCAGCCCGTGGTTAAAGTTGCCCGTCTGTGGCCCTTTAAGTTGTTGGTCCATTTTCATGGCGTCATCACATATGGCCCATTAATGACCCGTTATGCGCGCCGTTCGAATTAAGCCTGTTGTACACATGGGCCTATTAACGGCCCATAAACAGACGATTCCCTTTATAGTCCGTTTACGACCCGTATTGCGGTCCGTTAATTGTCCACGAAAGAATGGCCCATGTTTGGCCAATCGATCATACGTCCCGTAGAAGTCCCATTGAATCTACGGCCCGTAGAAGGCCCATGGATCATACGGACCTTAGGAGGCCCACTTCAGCAGGTAGCAAGACTACATCTAAATAAAAAGGTTACCGTGGAAAAAGAACTGCATCGACTACCAGCAAAAAAATAAACAAGGAAATAAATAAGCAAGAAACTATGCTAGGATATTACAAATATTACATCCACTCGGCATCAAAGTTCGCCACCAGTGAAAATATAGTGAACAAACACTGGTACGCGTCGGTCCTAAACAAATGGTTTTTAACCCCTTTCCGCGATGGCATTTGGAACCGTTGCCAAGTGAGTGTGTGCGATAGGG